TCTAGGCTGGAAAAGAGCTGAGGTAGTAACTTTATATTTTAACTGATAAATCAGTCCATCCTTTCTTTCGGCCACTTATCTGAGTCCAGGCATGGATGGACGACGAGGTAATGGGCCTCCGGGCATAAACAAGTAAAAAGCCCCTAAATAACTACAAAGACTCTCCACCTCAAAAAGCCAAATGGATTTGATTTGGAAAAAATCTGACTTGGTTTGTTCATGCTTCTATGAAAAGATCTGAGTCACTTGTAGGGACAAAAAGCCAAACTCAGCTCTAACGTGAAGGCGGCTATTATACGTTACAGATCGCTGCTGCAGCAGGGTGATGAATCACACAGTTGCCTCCAGAGCAGAGACACAACAGCTTAATAACATGGTTTATATCAATAGAGTTTATTTTTATCCTGTCAGTGGGATTGTCTTTCTCTTGTATCGTAGTTTATTCGTTTTTAAAATGTATTCATTTTCATTCCTTTGTCCATTTAACAGTGGCTGATTGTGTGTCCACAGCCTCCCTTGTCTTTGACCAGATGGTTTCTGATTTAAATAGTTTTACAAGCTACAGAACATTTTATTTTGGCCCAGTTTTTGTACAGAGATATCAGGAGTTCCTGAGAAGAACCTACAGCTGTATCTCTTCCATGGGTCTCGCTGGTCCTCTAGTGGAAACAAAGAGCAGTTGCATTTTCATATTGGTGTGAATGTGATTCTCTGGCATGAAAGTTATTCTTATTATTAACTTTAGCTACTTTTCAGAATCTCATCAATAACAGTAATTATAACAATGAGAGTATTGATACTATTGAGAAAAGCCAGAGTCTAATAATGAATTGAATGCTCTGTTGAGGCTGTCGTCAGCATCTACATGAATATTAAAGTCACCCACTATGTTTAGGGGCATGAGTTCTAACTATCTTTAGGTCTAGGGTTGACAAATAGTTGTCAAAGATCGCTGCCACGCCTCCACCTCGGCCTGCGCGTCGAGGGATGTGACAGTTACTGTGACTAGGTGGAGTGGATTCATTTAGCCTGGTGTGTTTTTCCTGCTGTAACCAGGTATCAGTAAGACACAATAAATTGATGTGACCTGTAATGCTGCTGCACTGACACTGGAGGGAGAGAGCGGATCAGTAATGATGAGGAACCGATGACCTGTTGTCTCATGGATGCGTTGGTACTTCTTAAACCTCACAGATTCCAGCTTCCTGAATGTGAATATGTTTTCTGTGATATTAAACTGAATTTGAGGTCTTGGACTGTTGGACAGTCGGTTTCCAATTAGCATTGCATTTTAGAATAAACAATCTTATAATTGACTTGTTTCAGTCCAAATTACACTCTATTACATAAATTCCATTTATTTTACTAAACCAAAATAGCTAGCAGTTTCCCTTAGTTCAGATTTTCTCACGTCTTCTAGTATTATGTGCTCATAGACTGAAATGCAGCTCACCACAACAGTTTGGTAATTGTTTATTTTCAATATACACTTCATTTGAAAAATATAAATTCTAAAATAATCCATTTCACCTCTTCTAAAAACTCACAAAAAGTTAATTAAAAATATCATTATTCCGTTCAATAAAATTAACATGACAAGCTGTAGATTTCTGTCGGACATGCTTACACAGAATTACACACTTTAAACTAAACGTCCCCACAAAATGATTCCCAGACATTGTCTTGGTTGTTCCCACGTTCTGCTGCTGACAGATGAAACAACGTAAACACTAACTGCGATGGTACAATTGTGCATTTTGGTGTAAGCCAGCGTGCCTTTATGTACATGATTTACAGAGGAAGAAGGCGGCTCACTCTTCTGACAGTTTCATTTCTATAGCGATGCTAAAAACATTGAGTGAGAAAGTGCTTCAGTGTGCCCTTCAGATCTACAGTGGGGATTCTGGAATGAGGAACTATGTAAGAAGCCTGTCCGGCTTGTTGTCCTGTAGGTACCGGCCGATACCTGCCAGGCTGTGAGAGGCGTTGTTCTTTGTGTTACTGTGGACTCACATGGACTAAACATGCTGTTTGTGCATGGAGATTAATGTTTTGTAGTAAGGATGAGTTTAGATTCTGTCAAGTCCATCACATGCTGGATATACAGTGTTTATGTTGAACTAGTTCTGGGTTGTTGTAATCATTCCTCTTCACAATGAAACGATACCTACATCTACACAGTAAAAAGACAAAGTCCTCTTTCTGTGTGAAAATGCATCAGTTTAAATTAATATGAACAGTCTACAGTGTGGATACCAGAACCAAGTGATGGGACCTGTCGGCACCAAAGGCGTCGGGCTGGGTTTGGATAGAAATTTGAAATTATGTTTGGGTCTGGGTCTGGTTTGGACATGCAAGTCAAACTTTAGGCTAGATGGCTGGTGCACTCAAATACCTGCTTCATTTAATGATAAGGGGAAAAGCACCGTACAAACTCAACTGCGTTGGGTTCAGACATTATATACTGTTAGCTTGTCAGGTTCAGACACCATACTCAGGCACAGGTCAGATTTGGAGATAAATGTGTGGCCTTAGTCTTTGTAGAACAAAACTTCCTCTTGGTGTTTCCTCGCTCAGGCGGGTATGTTCTGTTTGTTGCAAAACTGCCAGTTGTAGCTGCTAGCTGAGTTAGCTGATCTGGAATAAGCTTGTTTGTTTTTTTCATTTAACCAAAGCATGTTTAAAATTTAACTTGCATCTAGAAAATGTGAGGTAATTACTTTAGAAGAGGTAAATTACTGCGAATCATCAATAAAATTTGCTCTCTCGGCCAGTCATGTCTTTATTTCAAAATAAGAGCATTAAATTGTTCAAGATATCTTTATTTTTCAAGAAATCACACCTCTCAATAACGACGTTAGCTGTATGAGTATTAACCTGATCAGCTGAACCTGATAACATATTAGCCTGAGTAAGTTTACAGAACAGGATCGAAGACCAAGATATGCATTTGATTTAGTGAACAGAAACAGCTGAAGGCTCGTATTACCTTTGGCTAAACTTTACAATGCATTTCTACACAGATACAGAGTTTAATATCTGGGAGTTTTAAAAAAAATGGTACAGTGAGATACTGACTGATGGTCTTGTTTTGGGTGGATACCGTTACATTAGTTTTTTAAATTGTGAAAAAGATGCAAACAGAGCAGGACATTTTACAGAAGTCAACAGTGGACAAACTATGAATGGTGACATCAAAATAGTTTGGCCTTTCTGTATTGCAAAGTCTAGTTATTGTATCAGTAGCACAGATGCAGATATGTGTGCAATAAGACGCTGTCGGCTGATATAACAGTCTATCTCTGTGAATTATTGCCCTCAACTCTGATGTTGGCGTTGCACCACAAAGGTTTGGCGTGGTCTGGAGGAATAATTACAATGACCAGTAACTAGATGAATGTACATGAGTGTGTGAATACTACAGCATGGTAAGATTGACTTGAATTAATGTACAAAACCCGTGAGTCCATTTTCATATCAGCTAATTCCAACTGCAGCTGAGACAAAGAAAGAAAGAAACCCGGTGTGGGCTGAAGCTCTGCAGTACGTGGGTTTGACTCCCTTCTCATGATCCCTCATTACAGCGTCACCATAAGAATTTCAGACTGAATCAATCTCCTATAAGCCACTTAGGTAAAGTAGTTTATGCAGCACAAGCAGTTACATGATATGCATTCCTAGTTAGTTTTAAATTTGGCAGAGGACAATGGGATGATTTTGTATTGCTGAACTGTTAGAAACATGCATATAAAAAGGTTTCAGCAAGTGTCAGAAAATTTAAAAGGTAAAGCAATCAAAGCAGCGTGGAAAAATAATACAATATTTACCTCATTAACTGTTAATCAGCTTAACTAGTTCCTTCACAGATTGTTATACAGTGAATCTCTTGCATCATTCAACAAGAGGACACAAGGAAAATATCAAAACCCCAGGCAGCGTCAAAAATCACCATGTTACATTTGTTCTTAAGCATTGATCTAAAACAAGAGGTAGAGCTATCAAAACAATTTTCCTGCTACAGGAAAATGTTACTAGATAAATTCAATTTGTATACAAAGTTGATATAAAAAGGGCAGGGAGTGCACTCCATGCGTAGTCGGAGACAGCTGCGGCATTTAGGCTGCATCCACATTACAGGCTTTAATGCTCATTTCTGATGCTTTTGTGTTGATGCTACACATTCCTGTTTGTCGGCTCCTGTGTTAACACCAGTGAGCTCCTGAACCGCCGCACATGCACAAATTTAACTGAAAATGAACTATGTGCATGCCATCAAATCATGCAATTTTCTCAAAAACTGCTCAATTACGACATGTTCCTTCCAGTTTGGCTTGATCAGAAGCTTCTCCATAAATGTCCAACACACATGAAACGTCCTGGTCTCTCCACTGACCCCTCGCTGTTTTTGCTTTCCTCCATGTTTATTGTTACCAGCCTGTGAGGGGCCGAGGCTGAATGGTGACCACAGGCGATATGTGCAGAGGGAGATGTTAAAACAGTCACATGGATTCCGTTCTGACAGCGCTCGTGGAGTCAGAGATCGGGTATGAATCGGATGTAGGAGCACACATGCAAGTGGCCCAGATCTGATCCGAAAACATCTGAATCGGTTTGTTCACACTTCTGTGAAACGATCAGACCCGAGTCACTTCAGCTGTAATGTGAACGTAGCTTTACTATTGATCGATATGCGGAAGGATTTGCATAGAAGAATAGTAAGGAGTTAATTTATCAGTGTTAAAGTGTGATACAACAGCAGGAGTGTGAGGAAAGCAGTATTTTACAGTTGCTTCATTAAAAAAAAAAAGTCTTTACTGTATCTCTTTAACTTGGTGTAGTAATATTTTTGTACCACTTATTAAAATCAGTCTTGGAATCATGGAGCATATTTTGAGTTTAAAAGGATCATTTTCACTCAGTAAAAGAAACAGTAGTGCTGTGGGTACAGTACTGCAGGTTGTTTGGCTGTGGTCCGGTGCTCTACAGAGACGTTTCAGATCCTCTGCTCTTCCAGTAGAACGAATTATCGTCTGGGCTTATGTCTATTCTAATCTGAGGCACAGACTTCAGCGGACTCATCTCAGGGCTGAAAAACAAGCAGCTTTTGTTAGCACATGTGCCAGCACTGAAGTGTTTGTATATTCTGTTACAAGTAAAGGTCCTGCATTCAGAACTATATCTGCATAAAATACAGAAGGATAATCTGCAAAATGTACTTCTAAGTATAAAACTAGTTACCAGTATACAGTTAAATGTGCTTGTATCTGTGGAAGCCCAGTATTCATGTTCATTGGTAACCTACAGTACCTTCAACATACTTTTAACTCCTACCCTCACTTGGCAGCTTGACCCACCCTTAAACCTACATTATATTAGTTTAGCAGTTGGCCCTGCTGCCTCAGGTGGCAGGTTCTTAAAAATTAAATCTTTGCAACTATTTCCAAATCAAAACAAAACCTAGACCCACCAGATACCTAGACAGGACACAGAGTCACAACTAAGAAAACAGACTAAAAATAGTTTTCATAATTCAGCAGACTGAATATTTTTCACTCAGAAAAGTATTTGGGGATTCTACAGATCCCTTCTGAACAACTGGCATTGCAGTTAATTATATTTTAGAGAAACCTGGTGCCGGGGGTGAGACTGCTTCCTTAAAGAACTGACTATTTAATATATAAAACTGCAGAAATTGTTGTGATGTTTTCAACTGTTTGGGTTTTTGGACTGCGGGTCAGACAAAAGTTATTCATTTTACCATTGTGCATCAAATTCTCATAATTAAAAAAAGAGGAAGCCACAAATCTTCAGCTTTTTTTGGGGGGGCAGCATAATGTCATCACTACCACAGTAGCACTTTGCTTCATGTCCACGTCACTGACTCTGCAGACCCCTCAAATGCTTGCTTTAGTTTTACTGGCACAGATCCACTTAAAGCTATTATCATTTTATAGGCAAACGTGTGACTCAGAGATAATAAAATAGTTTATTTGAAAAATGGCTTTGGAAGCTGAAGAAGCATTTTTCAATAAGTTCAAGTTGCCTGTAGTTCTGTCAGTACAATGTTTTCAGTCATGTGAACAAAAGACAGCCAGCCAGTCTGAGCTCTGCAGCTGAAGACCAATAAAAAAACTAAGCTTTTTACTGACATCACAATGCCCTGTGAGCAGAGCTGCTTTTCACACATTGTCCCAAACACTAATCCTCTTTCATCAACACGGCTACACAATTGTAGAGCAGTCAGAACAAAATGTGACCCTGTGTGTTCGACCCATGGGTTCTGGCCTGTGCACCCCTGCAGATTGCACAGGGTTGTTTATGCCCACAGAAAGATGTAAAACTAGACGTTGAAACCTGAATTTTTATGGCTAATCGGAGGCAGTGGAATCGAGTTATGAACACAGCACTGACTTGTATAAATTGATACAGTGAACTTGTTGGCAAATGTTTACTTATTTACACTTCCAGCAGTTGTGAAGCAGCATTGTCATTTATTTGCATTTGTGCTTTGGCCACCTGGAAAATCTCAGTCTGATATTCCTTCTTTAATCTCTGTCTTTATTTTTTCATAGTGGCACATTTAGCCAGTGGTGGAAGAAGCCCTCAGATTCCTCCCCCCCGTCCCGTAACATTCAAATCCAAAGGATCAAGATGAGGGGATATCTGAGCCGGTAGCCATAGGTAAACTAATTAGCCTAGCTGACCTTTAAAGTTCAGACTAGCATATATTAGCCAGTTAGCTCGCCTTCTGACCTTTTGCAACCTTTGATTCCATAGTCATGAATGAATTTAAAAGAAAATAGAAGCCAATTACATTTTGTTTGGCTGCACTTTACCATTTGAGTTGACCTGTGAGAGACTGTACACTACACCTGTACCTGTCACTGTCACACACACACACCTGGACAAGTAGTTGGCCTGGTAGTAGCGAAGCTGCTCAGCAGGATGTGTGCCGTTCAAGGAATGATGGAGACTTCTCACCTGTGGAAAGAACAAAAACAGTTATTAGTGTAACTGTAGCCAACTAGGACCCCTCTGATTCATTCTGCATCCATTCAGACTCTTCCCCATTTTTCAGGTGTCATGCCGTCATCTACGACCACATCATAGGAATATGTTATGTGATGACATTACTTTAGAGAGCTACATATTCAGAAACTGAATTTAGTTAACCTATTTAGTACGTACAGGTGTGGGTCAGCTTCGATGTATGATAGCTATCATTAGTGTTGCTTCTCTCCTCTGTGGTAGCATTTTATTGCTGGCAATACCAGAGCTGTTCACGCTAATACATGCTGCTTTTGGCTGCAGGACAGCATTAACAGGATACATGTTTTTTTAATGTTTGTAGAGTGAAAAACCAGACAGTCCACGCTGTAACATAGAGCTGAGGGAGAGGCAGAGGTGGTGGAGCAGTCAGGGTTGCCCTCAGTCAACCTCTGGTGTTACATGGAAGGTTAACAATTAGCTCTAGACGTTACAATGTAAAGTGCCCGGAGATTATTTTTATTATGATTTGGTGCTATACCACTAAAACTGAATTGAATTAAAAAATAAATAAAAACACAGAGGCAGTGACTCGTGAGCAGTAATCCAGTCGATCTCTCACTCAGATTTTAGGGCATACATGTAAAACTACATTCCTAGTAAAATTATCAATTGAACATTGACTTGAGGAAGAAGATTACTATGTTGGTAACTATGTCCATGTCCATGTTATAACTAAAGCTATCAACCAACAAACTGCATTTAAGTTAGCTGTTAGGATAAATCACCCATCCAGCAGAAAACAGGCAACTTCAGCATCAGTCTGGAAATGTTTGTCCCCCATCAGCAATCTCTGAGAAAGGCAACACCCATCTTTATCCTTTTCTTATTATAAATTCTAAGTATAATCCTCCCTTTCTCCATATTTTGGTTTTCAAACTTCTCATGCCACTGATTCTTCTTCTTTCCCCATCTTCTTCTTCTATAGCATCACCAGATTTCTGCTGCTTCAACATCTGGAGCCAGTGTTTGGTTTATCTGTCCCGGGCCACTGTAGAAATGGCAGCTTCCATGAAAGGGGACCCACTACACAAAAGGCAACGATTCTTATGTTCAGGTGATTGCACACTAATGAAAACAGAATTACGGATACTATATTCCATTTCTGCCAACAGATCCATCTAAATCTTACACATTGCACTTTTAAACGGCAGTCGTTTTCTCTTTCTACATGTGCTAAATGCAAACTGTGGTGTGAGTGTGGAGGACAACATGGTTACTGGTTGCAGATTATACTCTTGAGTTGCTCTGCGAGCATTTCATCTTTTCAGTATAGTGTGCAGTACTAAAGCAAACTAGATGGCAGTGGGTTGATTTAATGTAGTAACAAAAATTTGGTCTAATGCTATTTAACCAGCATTATTACGTATTTAGACATAGGAGTGGTAATTCCCACTGATGGGAGGCTCTTTTACATTAGGCTGAAGTTATAGCTGTGTCTGCAGGTGCAAGGTGGAAATTGGCCAACAATCCATGAAATTACACTACAACAAAAACTGGTAAATTCAAATTATGAACTGAAGGGGAAGAAAGTTTAAACAAGCAAGAAATCAAAAGGCAAATAAGATTAATTCAGCCGCAGAGGGTTAGAACAAATCAGTTTTGGTGTGGGTTAAAAAGTTTAAAAAAATAAAATAAAAAATGTTAATGCCATACAGGAAAACAACAGACTTGGCAACAAGGATAAAGAAAGAAAGGAGGGGGAACATGTTAGTGTCATGCAGTTACAGCCAAGCAGTGAGATGAACATGTAAAAACACTGACACTTTGAAGAAGTTATCAGGCTGAATGAGGAAGCACAGCAGGAGTAGAGTAGAATGAAGAGGTGTTTTTCCTCCGGCTCTGAGTCTACTCACTGTCGGAGGCCTTATCACCTAAGAAGGGCTCCTGTTCCATTATGTCCATGGGGATTTTAATGCTGGCAACATTCTCACTGTAAGGACAGTCAGACTGTTGGAGAGAGGAAATTCACATCCTGAGACTGGATCTCTGGGGGTGTCATGAGTTACCATCAGCACACAAAATTATAAAACAGTCAGTGGTAATGCATCTTGAATGTGTCTGTCCATCTTATGCTTTGCTGGTTCCCTAAGAGAGACAACATAACCTAAGAGATTTCAGAAGCAGTTGGAATCGAGCTGAAAAAGCAGATAAAACCTTTGGCATGTTTCTATTGTAAGAAACAAAAGGGTCTTTCAGGAGCAGCATCCCTAAATGTAACTATTTATCCCAGTGATCGGTTTGGGTGAGGAGTAATTCTAGTGTTGCCCGGCTCCCAGTTATAGTCCAGAAGGGTTTCTGCCAGGTTCACCAGGTTAAATTAAATTCTAGAGGTGTTTTAACACCACCTTGAAAACTTCTTCCACTGTCATACTGGGCAAAGTATAAAAGTATAATGGAAAACCAGCAAGAATGATATGTTTAGAATTATCCATCCATACATGTGGTGCCACTTTTTCAGACTCTGGAGGGCTGGAAGTCGTCGGTGTTGACCGTTTTGAGAATGGGCCGTCATGTAAAACAGATTATATGAAAGTGGAAAGTTGCTTGTTTCTGAGGCTTGAGCAAAGATACTAGCTTGTATTGTTCAAGTATATTCCTCATGGGGATTTAAACTGTAACTGAAACTGTAACTCAAAACCCTTACGTCTTCAGCTTCGCTATCTAAGCTGGCCTGTTTGTTCTTCTTCTTCTCATCCTCTTTCTTCTTCTTGTCCTTCTCTGGGATGATGTCGTCCAGGAAGCTGAGGTCATGCTGGGAGAACATGTAGTCCATCACTTTTCTGACAGCAACCAGAGCGAGGATCTAAAGGCAGAGCAAGAGGTTTAGAGTAGATTTTTATTTTTTACATATTTAAACATATTTTAATATTTAACAGAATGTCGGTCATTTGCAGCCTCAGGACAAATCTTAGTATAAATGTCTCACCATGACAGGGAATATGATGGCAGCCACTGTGGATTTGAGGATCCAGAGCAGAGCCAAGCAGAGCACCTGAATGAAGGTGAAGAGGTGCACCTTCCTGAGGGGAACGTGTCGCAGGTAAACCAGGTCTGGCTGGTGTTTCGCTGGCATGAGAAGCAGCACGAGACGGTCCATAAACTGCAGACAGAGATACAAACACATAACAGGCTGGCTTGCATTGTTTCTTGGACAGTCAGAGGTGCCTTTTTATAAAGGTTTATGGCTCAAAATCTGATCTGTACGGAAGTATGCATTCACCAAAGAAAAAAATTGGAGACTTCTCTTATGAGGCAGTAATGGCGTGTTCACAACGGAAAAATGCTTGTGTATGTGATGTGCTGCGCCTATGTCCACAGTGCGCAGTGCAGAGTGAGAGTTCAGATTTTGTTGAACTTTGGTCCCAGTTGCACTGACCTCTATGGGCGCAGCCCTGGCTTCGCCTATACTCATAGAACCCCAGGTTACAGTATGTAACCAACATGTCTGAAGTTTCACAAAAACTGTACAATAACATGATCCTCATGTAAAGACAGACGACCTGTTTAGCTAGTGAAATCAGCACACAAGTGCCGCTACAGAGACAGTTAAAAACAAAAACAAACTGGTCACCTCAAATGTAACACTGGTGATCTACTGCTAGCAACATTAGCATAGTAGTTGTGCCACCATGTACAGCACCCCTGGGAATTTCCACCTGAGTTTTGGCGCCAACCAGCGTGGAATGCACTGCGTAAGACTCTCCTTTTTTTACTGTAATGTGAACACACCTTAAGTCATAGATCCTGATCTCGTAATTATCAGATCTTTTCCCGTAAGTATGAGATAGTAAGTCAGTTACGAGAACTTTCCTCGTAACAAATTCTACAGAATTAAAGTAATTTGGTGATAAGTGTCAGTACATCCAATAGCGCATAGCAAAAGTGAACTGTTAAGTTAATTCAGCATAATGTTCAAAAATGTAAATATAGACAAATGAGATCTTTTCTCATAAGGAGATAGTAAGTCATAAATATAAGATCCTGATCTCATAATTATGAGATGTTAAATCATAATCACAAGACAATCTTCCAGTTTTATTTCTTTGGTGAATGCTATGTGCTTCTGTAGATTCATAGTTAATTTTCCTGGGAAAGGTAAGAGCGACAATATTCCACATCTTTAACTCTCCCCGTTAAGGATGTGCATGACATCCTTTTAGTGATTTTTTTTTTTTACATGTTTGCATCTCTTTTCAGTGACAGGATGGGGGAAAAAAAAAAACATTTACCTGCACACCATTTAGAGAGGCAACTCCCATGTAGAGGAAAACTCCATACAGTACAGGCATGGGGATGAACTAAAGAAGCAGAAAAAAAATACACATACTGTCAGTGTAACATTTTAACACAATCATAGAGACGATGCTTTTTTTTAAATATATATATAAAATATGTATCTATCACTAACAGCTCCAAACTGAATATTTGAGCATAACTTAACTTAAACTTTTAAAGCATACCTTTAAAATAGGAGACATAAATACAGACAGTCCTGTCAAGATGAAAACCAACACACCAGTGACCCTCTGCTCTCTGCAAAAACACAAGATGTAGAAAATAGTCATTACAAAAACTTTGCATGACTTCGATATGTTTTGCTTCTTTTTGCTACAATAATTATTTGAGGATTTCAGTCATTCTCCAGATGTCATTCAGTTTGCTCAAAGCAAAGGCAACCAGTGTTTCTAGGAAGTTCTGATTGGTGTAGCTGTTTCAGGGTCAGTTAAAGGACAAGAGTTTGTTAGTTCAGCTTACAGCTGACGCATCGGGAGGCTCACGAGGACACCACCAAAACAAAACTCTTAAAACACTGAAAGAAAATCAGTGTCTTTACAATCTATTGATGAATACAAAAGGCAAAACTGGCACCTGTACAAAAACTAATATTTTGAAGGAACTGGCCTGTGACTTTGTTAAACAGAAACAAAAACCAACAATGAAGGAAGAAGTGTGTCAACCAGTGGAGGTCTCCAGCACAGATCAATAAGCTAAACGAGGGTCTGGATTCATAGACGTTACAGTAAGTACACGGAATTCATGTTTAGTTTTACTCTGTATGAGATTTGTGGAAAATGACAAAGTATACAAAATCACCTGCGTTATCCTTTTAGTACTGGCAATAATGCAAACTAAGTTGAACATGGAGTGAGAATATTTAGTTAAAAACTTGTGCTTTTAAACAAAGGTCAGTAATAAACAGTACTTTACAAATCAGGATTTACAATCAAGCAGTAATCTGTTGTGTAAATGTATTTGAAGTTTGACTTCACTCACAATCCAAATCGGCTTATTACAGTTCAGTGCATTGCTGCTAACAGGAGAGTTATTTCTTGTTTTCTGCTCCAGAGTGTATATTTGTGTTATTTAGCAAAAATTACTGGTCATATATTAGTGGCAATACACTCACTGGCCACTTTATTAGGTACACCTGTATGTACTTCAATGCAACATTTCCGCCTTAACGTCTGTGTTTATGAAACTTGGTGTTTTTGGTGAAAATGTCTAATGTATAAATTATATGTTTATTATTGAGGTCATAATTAAATATAATGTAGTCCAGTACAACACCACCTTTAGAGTTGTCTATATCTTTGTCCTCCCCAGATACATACATGAAAGGGTCAGAATATTAGGAACACCTCTGATTATAATGTCATTCAGTACAATACCACCTTTAACTATGACCTCAATAATAAACATAACTGAATTTATACATTCATGACAGTTTCACCAAAAACATAGGTATTAAGGCGGAAGCAGAAGTGTTGCGATGATTTAAAACATGATCTATTAATAATATACTCAGTTTATGGCCTCACCTCACACCCAGGAACTTGGGTTGCTCTCCAGGAGCTGATGTCTCTGTTTCCATCTTCAGGCTGTCGATGTGAGCGATGGAGATAACTGTAGCGGCCACGTACCACGGCAGACCCATGAAGGAGCAAACCACCAGCAGAACAGCCACCCAGAACAGATCTAGATGGTAACCTCCCCCTTTCTGGTACAACACAAAAGGTCAAAGGTCATCGGGCAAAGCAAACAGCTCATGTCGTCTGATTGAATAACACAGATTTTCAAATAAAGAGTGGAATTTTAATTTGCCTCCTCTAATTTTGACTGAAAACCTCCTGGATGTTTACGTGTTGTCTTGATAAAGTCAGTATCGTGTCAATTTCCAAAGCCCAAACTGCATCAGTGCAGCATCACGACATCCCCACACACTGCCCCTGACAGTGTTCTTTTACCATGAGTGAAACCCCAGACGTTTTACAGGCTTCCCTTAATGGCTAGGCTTTTAATGTGGAAAAACATCAGGAAACAGTTTACCATTAATAGGATAATGCCTATAAGAGACTCAGAGCAGCAGAGTGATGTGTAACATGACTCTGTTGTACTGATGAAGTGGTGCTGTAGAAATCGACGTTGTACTAAAATTAGCATGTGAGCTGTTCTAGGAAGCTACAGCTAACCCCCTTGCTGAACACACCCCTGGCTATTCTTTGACACACAGACATTATTTGAATACCAACTGAACCATGCTCAGTCACTTCCACAACACATCTCTCACTCCTCAGAGGAATGACAGTGATATTTAACTACAGTTTGTTGTTGAAGATGCATGAAAATCCCAAGTTCACTTAAATGAGGTAAGACAGAAGGAAAAAGTCTCACTCTTGTACCTAAAAAAAAATAATGTTGATGTTCTGTGAACAGCCAAGTGTTGTAATGTAAATCCTCCCATCTGCTGTACACACACTCAGTATAAATAACCATCCAGTGGCTCAGTATAGCAACCGATGACATTTAGTAGTCCAGACACTTCTGTCTCACACACTTTGTCAGTAAGGCTTACCTTCAGCTTGTGCTCCTTCCGGTTGACGATCACGGCAGTAATCTGCTGGTCCATGAAGACAAGTATGGTGACCAGCAGGGCAGGAAGAGCTGCAGCCATGTAAACCCACCAAGGGTTTCCTCCAAACGGGGGCACAAACCAGCCCCGGTGAGGACTTGTTGGCTATAAGAGACGAGGACAGAAGCTTCAACAGTCAACACTGAACACACAGACTGTTACATTTAGGAATTTCTGAAATGTTTGTTTTAGGCAAACAAGGCTATTTGCCTCTGTCTTTTGCTGTTTTACCAATTAATCTCCTTTTTAACCAGTCATTTTGTCAAGAAATTACAGAAAAGATTGGAAAATGCGAGTCCAAAGGAACATCAGCTATTTTTTTTTGTTTTGTTTTAAACATGGCTGAAACAATGAAATGGTTACCAATATAGTTAATCATTTTTAGCGCATTGAGTGTATGATTCATCTTTGTACTGTAGTTGTACAGACTGTTTATCACTTTACATTTCTGCTAATAAGTTTTCAAACCCATTGGATTGATTTACACTGCATTAGGCAGATGTCAACTTCCAAGGTAGTTTGTCTTCCTCTTCCTCTAACTTAGCAAGTTAAAACAGTTGCAAATGCAGTGAGACTTTGCTGAAGTCTTATGTTTTGATCATACATCAAAATTTGATGCACTGGAGTTGTGCATTCTGCACTGAACACATGGGGACAGGGAGGGACTCACCTTGAATTCACTTGGCACAATGAGTTTAGGAGTTTCGACTCCTACGAGCATATCAACTCCACAGAAGATGAAGATGGCCAGGATGATGGCAAAGTCACTGATGAGTTTTCTCACCTGGGTGTAAACAAACACCAGGAGTGTCTAATTATCTCTTCCTTAACCAGATGGAAACCTAATTTAGTTTCTTTACAGGTGACTTGGTGGGTTAAATTATCTCAGCATGTTGGTGTCATCATACAGTAAGTGACTCACAGTGGTGGGGAAGTATGCGCTGGTCTTGAACTTCTTCAGACACATGGAGCAGGTGTAAGTGCCGAAGAACAGGATGTAGGACATGAGAGTGATGTCAGGGACGAAGTTGCAGGCCTTCCCCACCAGCTCTCCTTTGTACTTCAAGCACTCGGTCATTGTGAGCGACGACCATGTGGCATTCATTGGCTGCAGAGGGGAAACAAAGAGCGTCAGGACTATGAAGAAACTATTACTCATGCAGATGAGGGTAACTGTAACAAAGTGCTGTAATTTAACAAGTCTTGTACCAAAGCAGCTGAGAAGGGCTGCTGACTGATAACTGTCTCAGGCTTTCATTGTTTTGGAGTAAAAAAGACAAGCAAACTTAGTGTCAGCTCATCGTATCTTGTGACATTGTTGAACAGACAAACACAACTGTCCTTTTCATCTCAACACTTGTGGTTGTTATAAGACACGTTCTTTGACTGGTATATATAGTAGGCTACAGGATATCAGAGTTAGACTGAGACAGCATAATGGACGAGTTACCACAGAAACTATCAATAAGAATGATTCTGTATTCAGAAAAAATACCATTAGAAAAGTGAACAGACAAAGGTGTGTGAAATAAAATATTTTTACATTGATAAACCAGAAAACACTAACCAGATCAGTGTCGTTCCAGAGGGAAATACCTTCTAAAGGATCATCAATGACAGCAGTGCCATTCTCTGTGAAACACAAAGCACAACCTCAGTACGACACTGACCTTAAAGTTACATAACACAGTGGTACACATATTTACATGTGTACTGTACACAGCATGCAGGCCACAGCACGTCAGGATTAATCTGGAAGTACGTATTAGGCTGATGGGAGTTTGATAGAACTATATATAGAGAGAGTACTTTATTAATCCCCAAGGGTTAATTATTTGGTTATTCTTGTCATGAACTGTCTCTGCAATTTCTCTCTGACATTAATAAAATCTTTCTAAAGTGTACTCCGTGCCCATCAGCAAACTGGTACTTTCTTTTTAAAAATTTCTTACAGCCACAATACAAATTCTAAATCCATGCTGTAATGCTCTGGGCCTATAATAATCTTTATCAGTAAGAAAATCAATTTGTTGATTAGAACCAATTTTACTCTGTTATTTGCAAATACTTATCACAAGTGAGGCAAAAAAGTCAAGTTTGGCCTCAGGCTAATGCAAAAGGAACAACTAACTGCCACTTCAATCTAAATAGTGACCATTTCAGACACTCTTACTCAGATCATCAGATTTAGCTGCACTTTTGTCTAAACTGCATCATCTGTTCCATATCTAATCTACTGTTTGGAAGATATTTCAGTCTGGCCAACAGACCAACACAGCCAACAGGGATGTGATGCAAACCAGGAGCTTCCCTGGCTCACTGTCAGTTTTCCACCAGTCTACTGTAGTGATACGTCAGCTACGTATGCAGTACACACTGGAGGAGAATGTTTCTCTCTGTGTCAGAGATATTTTGAAAGCAGCAGGGGATTAACAGTTACTAAGGACTGGCCCCTCTTCATCTCCCATCATCCATCAGCAAAGAAAGTCAAGAGGTCTGCTGTGTTGTATTAAAATATGATCAACTGCACTAGTTCCCTTTTTTATAGTGAGGAAAAATGTTCATTGGAGGTGTGAAGTATCAGGCCAAAACAAGACGAAGGCTGAAACTCAGCAGCTTATTATTATTCGTTGCAACCAAACAAGCTAAGGTCAGTGAATTTACCATCCTTCTAACTACATTAAATTAAAGGTAAAATGCTGTTTTGCTGCAACTTTAGTCTCAGATCTTCCGTACCTACACCACATTTTACAGGTAAAACTGGAAACTAACGTCAGCTAAACACCAGAAAGTCAAACATAATCTCACCTAAAACAGCAGGGGCCATACAGAGGCAATCATATTGTGTGATGTAGTCCATCTTAAAGTCCGAGTTGATGGGGTAGTGATGAGCTAATTTAAACATCTTCTTGAAGGCATCATAGATGAAGATGAAGCTGATGAGACAGGAGAAGCCCTCCTCAGTGAAGCGGGTGAAGTACTGAACCAAGAAGCTGGCATCAGTGGCCACGAGCACCAGGCAGAAAAACGCAGACCACAGGCCGATCCACAGCCGGAACTCCAGGTAGTCAAAGTTATTATCTCTGCACGGAAAAACAACACAACAAACATCAGTAAAATAGTCAATGAAATATGTTTTGATGTTTTATACAGTGGAGAATCAGGGCTACTGTTATGTTATGTTACAACTTTATTCTCAAAACCCATATTTCTTGCAATCAATACTTGCACTAGTATCACTTATATTAAAAAAGATTTCGTAAACCTTATTGGTTCATAGAATGCATGTTTGGAGCTCTGTGAGTGTTTTTCAAACAGTAAGTCATGTATGATTAGCAGCTGGGCAAACTGAGGAACGTTAGACGCTACCTGCTGAAGTTGAAGAGCAGCCGTTCAAACACCAGAACAGGACCGGTACTGCTGAGGATGATGAGAGGCTGGCCGCCCAGCAGGCAGAAAACCCCACCGGTGATCGCTGTGCCCAGAAAGCTCTCCAACACACCCTGTGCCCATTGAGGGGAGCAGTTAGGGAGTAGCTCATAAAATAAATAAATAATACACTCTACAACCTGTTAAAAAGTTAAACTCTCAGTCTGACCTGCATGTTTTCTGTAGCATCCCCCAGCAAACCTCCAAAGGTGATGGCGTTTGTCACAGTTCCCAGGTAAATAAACAAAATGGTCGACAGGGCCTGGATGTGAAGTCCATCGGTGAAGTCACTGGCAAAGAAAGGCGCTTTTCTTTTGATGTCAACTACGAGACCTCCACAGAACCTGACAATAGAGGAACCAATGTCATATCCCATAATATCAAACATTAGGCACAACAAAAACAACTAGACCTGCACTTCTTTGTTAGGATCTTTAACCGTTCACTCACAGGCAGGATGCAAAAGGTGCAGCAGCTCCTCACAACATATAGATGAAGTAATTTATTCAAATTCATTTCTGCTACTACCCCAAATGGAAATGAAATGAAACAGACAAGTCTTTTTAATAGATGATGAAAGCTAGTCAGAGCATGGAGCCAATCATCAGTGAAACAGTACAATAAGTAAATCAGTGGTTGTTTAGATAATAAAAGGAAATGAACATGAAGTAGTTCAAAATTGAAAACTGAACTATGAATGTAAACTAGTTCATTTTAATGAGTGTGAACCGAACTCTAAGCTATCTCCTGTAAAGTATGAACTTGCCCAACACTGTTTAAAGTATTACCATGCAGACCCAGAGGACTTCAGCAGAGGACTCCTTATGCAACACTGTATTGCTGTTTACATTTTTCTCAGGACAAAGCTGCTGATTCTTTTCTGCTGCACTTTGGATCACAAACTCACATTTAGCTGCTGAGTGCGGTGAAATTTCACATACAGTACTTAGTGTATTACGCTGCAAGTCATACAATGTTCCATGTGTAGTTTTAGGATGGCAGTCATCTGTTCTCATATAGAAAGTGTCATTTAAAATTGTTTGGTTTTGCTCATGAGTTCATACCTTCCAGTCTTCTTCAGCTCGTCTCCCACAGCATGTCCTCCTCCACCATGACCTCCATCATGAGGCGTGTCCCCATTCATCTGAGAGTCCCCTCCTGCGTACATGTTCTTCCTAAAAGACACGGCACAGTTTTGTTTAGACCGACGAGCACTTTTATTCCCATTACTAGTTTCACATAAATACGACCAGCTAAAGAAAAGTCATACCTGAACACCTCTAATTTAGAAATATGTATATAAACTCCCCTTTAAATGTTTTGTGCACTTTAAAACCATTCCTACTATACTATAAGTGGTGACAGCCAGAGAGATTCTCATAGCAACAGACTTAAAGTGGTGCTTTTTGGTACAGACCAACCTTTTGTCAGAGGAGGGCAGGGTTTTTGGAGGCTCTATCCTGATGGCAGGGTCCCACTCTCCAGGAGGAAGCACGATCACCTCATCCAGAAATTCATCGATTCCAGCCAGCAGGTCTTGTCTGTCCTTGGCTTTATATGCAATGTCATGGAAAACCTGACCACGAGGCATTCAAGTGTGAAAGAGAGCTGTTAAAGCACGAGGTGGCACCCAGCAGCGAACTGTAATAACAGCTACAGTATGAGGATTAACAGATGGGGAGGAAAGTATGATCCTACACACTCGACATCAAAAGCACGATATTCATAATATACCTGAAGTAAAACCAAAAATTCTACAATCATACATGTTTTCTGAGATATTACTGTGTAAACAAATGAAGTGCTCAGACAAAACTAGGAAGAAACTGCTGGTGAAACAGTAGGCAGCTCAAAATCTAACGCACTTTAAAGAAACTAACAAAACTACATGAACACAACAAAAGCAAACAGAAGAGTACCATAAACTACATTAGAAATGACTAAATGTGAGCAAAAACCAAACAATAACACAGTATTTATTATGCTGGACTGTGTCATGTTGTAAAGTGTTCCTCTACACTCTGTACTTTAAAAATCTAGTTTTAGTGCGTGTACCAGAATTTTACTGTTCACGTTAAACCATAACACACATGATGTGTGTAATGTCAGTCTAACCTCGTCTGACGTCAGCGTGGCAATCGCTCTGCCAATCTCATGGTATGACTTGCCTTTGCCTTTGGGTCCGAGCAAGATGAACAAAAATCTGCAAACAGAAAGGAAAAAGTCAGCCGATCTTAATCTACCCTGGACACAAAGCAGCCCTGGACCCTAGAGTAGATACAGTATGTGGCTTGACACACAGCATCTGCACTGTATGTGCTCAGGTTAAGCAGTGACTGACCCAGCCAGCCTGTAACGGCGGTCACCTCTGAGGGCCGGATCTGCTAAGTGGTCCAACCACTGTATTGAAAATCAAACAAGACTTTCAGTTTAAGAAATGATTAAAGAATGTGGTTTACAGCATTGTAATTTTAAACCTATGTTAACTATTATTTAGCACAAATTGGGATAAATCAAGTAAAGTTGTCTCCCTGCTGTACCGATCCCCCGAACCCCACTCTATCTCATGTTTCATGTTTATTTCTGGCCCTCTGTTGTTAAAATCTGCACCGCACTTCTTCCATGCCCCCGCTGATCCGAGGTTTTAAGACATGTTTTTTCAAATAGTAAGACTCATTTCAATGATGGACCATGGAGGCTCCCTGTGCAGGTACAACCCAGGATGGGAGCGGACCTGTCAAAGCCAAGAGGTCATGTTGTGTAGCACAGAAAGACACTGGTTTGGCAGGTCGGAGATGGCGAGGATCACAAGTATTCAAAGGACTAAAATTTGATGCAGATGTGACTTTCTTCCATCTGGGCGCATAATTACTGTAGCTGACTAATGTGTGACTACAGTATGTGTAAGGCAGCCTGAGTGGCATCTTCCTACATTAAATTTCGATGTATGAATTCTACGAGTCTCAGACACCTTGTCGGAACGGGAACCTCCGTTAAGGCTCCCAGCATCACAGCTTGCTGCAGGCGAACAAACGCCACAAATGGTGCGTCCAGGAAATCCACCTCCCCCACCAGCACATTGGAGGCTTCGGCGTCTCTCGGCAACTTCTTCATGAACTTGTTCTTCAGCTAAAAGAACAAAAGAGAAGAAACAGGAGGAGACATTAAGAGCTACATTCTCACCAGCAAGTGACCGAGTGCAGTGAACACTGAATTAAACCACTTCTATCAAAACAAGACAACCCCATTCAGCTTAAATACCAAACCAGGAGGCTACCACGGTAGTGACATAAGAAACAAGCAGGAACATGAAGTCTGTATTTTTTTCTGTCATGGTGACAGTGAGTTGCATAAAGATGGAGGTCGGACACCAGCTGGGCTCCACAGGTGCAGCATTTTACTTCCAAAGGACATTAAAGTCCTACTTTGTGTAACTGCTGGGCAGCCAGAAATCTTTCACTTCACAGACATTCATGTGTTTTAACTTTAACCAGTTCAGCTAACAGTGTACATAATCTTTTTATTTACACATTTTTATGTTTGTGTTTTACTGTAGAGGTGCCTCTAATGCTATTTATGGTCCAGTTCATCCTAATTTTACATATTTATTAATGAGCAAAACTGTTTACCCCAATTCACAAAATATTTTTGCCTATTTTGTGGCATATTTTAAATTTCCAGCAGAATAAACCAACAATTCCAACAAAAAAAAAGTTCCAGCAGTGTCCACAGAGTTTGCCAGATTAGTGATCTTTGGTAACTTCAGTGCAGAAACAGCAAAAGCAGGCTATGTACAAAAATAGATTTTCACTAATAAATGATTGGGTTGTCTTACCTGATCTTTTTCTGGCTTATCGGAAATGTCGTTCAGGCTGCTGGAGGTCAGGTTCTGGTGAGTCATGGGTGGGCTGTCTGTTAAAACACAGTGACCCTGAGCAGTTAGACCGGCCGCACCTGTCCCTGGATGTATTGTAAGAACTGAGTGGAAAAGAGGCTGATGCTCAGGGAAAGACAGTGGCCCAGACAGTTTGACTCGCATGCGGCAACGAACAGAATAACAAAGAGCGCGGTGCTATTCATGCAAATCAAAGACAGATACTGATTATCAAATATGATAGATTGTGGAGCACAAAATCATTAATACCAGCAGTAATCCAGAAATCCTTTAATGCTGGCCGAGAGAAAAATTTCCCTCAGTGTTCACTGACTAAATGAGACAATTGATCCACAGCATCTGCTGAGAATCCTGAATCAGTATTCCTAGATGTTAAAAACTGTGCACAACCTTTAGTGAAATATACCACATTTCCAATTGTTTTCACTTTATTTAGTTCAGATGCTTATGATCTGGGGTTTCAAATTATGCCTTGGTGTCAAAAATAGCTCAATATGTTGAGAGAAATTGGACTAATTCAAGGAGTCAGTGTTTCATAAACCAATTTTCATTGCATGCATCCATCCTGAAAATTAATCATGCTACTGAAAATATTTGATCATCTTAGTATCCACCTATTAACACCGACTGCCTTCCTTATTGAAGCAGGTGAACAGTTGACTGACACTCTGCTGACATCTGGTTTCAACTCATCAACTCCACGTCAGAGTTCTGACAGCAGAACATGACCTTACTTCAGTCCTGAAGCTGCCAGTGGTAAGAGCTATGCAGAGAGGGACAAATCTCAGGTAATGACGTTTGTCAGTATGATGCAGCCAGTATATATAATGCACATTTCTATATGTACTTGTAAGAAAGATAGTAATCAAATGTCAATTCTGACCAAAATTTGCTATAAAGCATTGAAAATTTAGACATTTTGAAATGTCTAAACTGACAATGTTTTTTTTTAAAAACACACAACATACTAACACTGACACTATACAGGAGAGTGTTAAGTTACAGCGTGGTCGTGACTGTGTTCAAACTGCAGCTGAAAGTTCCTCAGTTCTGATTATCATATGTGACACCAATCAGATTTGTTTTCCTTTCTTTGCTATTTAAATAGCAAAAATTGCACAGAGTAACATTTTCCAAATGCCCCTGATGGTCACGTGGATACATTCAACAAAATGAGAAACTAGACATTATTCAGCTAAGAACAAAAATATTATGTCCATGTCTCTGCAGATTGTTGCTGGTACTATTATAAAGGAAGGTAAGATTAATGGAAAGAGCCAACTCAATGTGATGCACTTGTTTATGCTTTTTGTGCCAATGGGAACAAAACAGATGCAACCAGAACTGATCTGTGGTCTGCAGTATGTACACAGACGGGGTCCAGTGAACTTACTAAGCCAGTCCATGCTGGTACTCCTTTGGGTCTGCAAGTCCTCCACCGAGCTGCGACCCGACAGGCAAGTCACCGAGTTCTCAAGAGGACTACGAGCTTTTAGTAGCAGCAGCAGCAGGTTAAGAAACCCAATCCAGGGAAGGCAAAAAGAGACAGCAGGGAGAAATGACAGGGAAACCCACTGATCCAAAGCAAGAGATTTGTTAGTAGAACTAAATCAAGTAGTAGCTGTTAAATACATGATTTCTGTGTATTTGCACAAGCTGCACAGAGAAACAGTGGGGTAAGAGGAGTGGTGTCATTAAATACAGAGACCATGGGTCGTTGGACAGAAGAACATGAGTCAAACTGTTTCTTAATAAATCAGTGCATGTACTTTTTGTAATCAGTGGGTGTGCCTTGTAAAGTTGGAATCAATGAATGATTATCAATGACGCTCTTTATCTCAGTACTGTGATCTCAATAACAGGCTACAGCTTTTATGAGCTAAAGTTCTATTTAAACCCTGGATCATGAGCAGAGGAAGCACTTCATCTAACAGAGTCATAATCCCGTTGTGTACAGTAAATCTAACAGCAGGTAATAAGGAACTTCACTTTCCAAAGACCCACAGTTGGTGACAGATTAATTATATTGACAGCAATGAAATAAGTTTCTTGGTGTGTTACAGCAAAAGCGCTTGTACATGTTATTTCATTTTCACACAATAAATTTCAATGGGCCTTTTATGCAGAATACACTAGATTTGATGCTACATCAATTTCATTTGACTAAAATCCAATAAAAAATGCAAATTAAGCCAATTTCACCCATTAATTAGTTTTGTGTTTTGAATCTGACTTTAGTTCTGTCTGGAACTTTCAGTGAAGCAACATGACAGCCTGTAAATAAAACAAACATTTTTAGAAAGCTCAACAAAATTAAACTTTAACTTCAGAGAATCATATGAAGCACTATCTTCAACTTCAGAGGCGATGGCTGCTGTAAATGATAATATCTTAAGTTCTCTATTAGTCATACTACGCTGTATCAAAAGACTTTGTTGGTTTTACAATTTTCTGCAGCCTTGGACTTTCCTCACCAGTGTCATAAAATCATGCACTGATTCAGCTCCCAGTGCTGAAACCTACCTCCACCACACATTTACCATCTACTTGGTCAGTGTTGTTACATCTCTGAATGCAGTTAGTAACCTACAGTTAGTAAATGTAATAGTGCTGCTAAAGTGTCAGATGTTTGTGATGAATTATGAAAACCCACCTATCAACTTCACTGGTTGCAGTGAAATAATAGAAGTTTGTGTTTCTTTTCCTGGCATTAACACATCAAATCTAGCATCATGGCTCAGGTTTTTGATCAAATTACTAATAAAAATGCTTTTCAGTATCCACTAAGAAACTGGTATAGATTTAGGGCTATTTAGTGCCCCATTAGTAGGCTCATGCAGAGGAGGGCAGTAGCGTGTCCCTTATTGCACACTGTGGCCTTCTGCCCTCACAAGAAACTGTTCAGCTCATCTTAAGGCGATAAAAAAAAAAATCAAAGTATCTTTATAATATCTGATAATATAGATACTGTATGTAAAACTAAATTTGTCCTAAAGCAGATTATTAGATTTTTTTCTTCCAATCAGGTTTAAAAAAAAGAGAAGACTGCACCAAACTGGCATCGGTATTACCATTTTCCTGGTTGTAAAACAGCCTACTTGCACTGGAGACCGTCTTGCCAATGTCAGCCAGAGAGCGCAGGTTAGACTTCTTGGTTTGGTGGTGATGTTTCCGTAGCAACGTGTACATCACCTTGTCCTTCAGGTCTGCTTTGAGCTGGCCGACCTCTATCTGGTTGTCAGTGATCATCTCTGAAGGTGCAGAGAGAGAAATCAGTTGCTTTAAAGAAAAACAAAGAGAGTTTCTCGCCGCAGAATCAAAGAACCATGTATTTAAGACATTACCAAGTACATAATTATACTCAACAGCAAATAATTATCTTACATTATAACAATTACTGTAAATGTTTAGTCTATAAAAATAATGTTAAATGCCCACATTAGCATAACCCAAACTGATGTTGTACAGTTGCTTATTTTGTCCAGTCAACAACTAAAAAACAAAAGTTATTCAAATTAAAAGGATATGAAATGGAGAAAAGCCAGCAGCCTCGATGTCAAACAGTAATTAGTAAACATTTGGTATTTTCCACTTTGTAAGTAATATAAACCATTTAATCAACCGTCACAATTGTCCAGTAATCTTGTAGAAATTGAGAAACTTTGCTAGCTCCTATGTATTTATCACAAAAGCTCTAGATGTTCTGAGGAGCATTAACACTAAACAAGTTGGTAAACTAAATCAATAAAAAGTATTATAGTATTATATTCAAGAGATAAGATGTTTTCATTTTGGGCCTATTTTTTCTCTCCATGATTTTAATCCAACAGATTTTATTCATAACAGTGTCACTATAAAAAGTCTCTTCATACTTAAGGCCTCAATCAGAGCCCACCAGGCGGTAATGCTCCTGTATGAGGGTCTTCATGGCAACCTGAAATGGCTCACTCAAAAGGACTGGGCTATTTTTAAAAAGAAGGTCAGAGTCCTAAATGCTAACAGACAGCAGCCTCAGGGAGTTTGTCTTCTTATGGAGGGGAAGTGCTGTTAATAGCCCATCAGTCAAGTCAGCCGGCCTTAAAGCAAGAGGCCCAGCTGTGCTTGGCCAGCGCAGTCCATGCAACACAATCAGTTATTTCACATTAATCACTCCAAGTGCTAACTCTTCCTCTTGCTCCCTCATGCAGGAAGACATGTTTGTGTCGTGGCATGACATGCAAGGGCAGAGAGACACTCATCTCAGAGTAATGGGAGAGGTTGGGTTGTCTTCTAATTAATTAATTAAGACGTTTTGTATGATCATTTGCAAAACTACTATTCGAGTCCTTCAGTGTTGATATAAAGCACAGTATAGCCTGGACCTCCGCTTTGGCCTTTTGCTACTCCTAAAAGAAAAATAGGGCAAAAGAAAACTTCTGAGGCTCGTGTGCCATGTGCATCAGTCCATAATCCTGCATGTAACACTGCAGAGCAGCTCTATGTACTGTACATCACAGAGCAGATACAATCAACCTGACAGACCGGTTCTTGTATCACAGGCAGGGAGATGCTGACCCTCATCAAAGTCATTATATGTCAGCAAAGAACAAAATGGCCTGTACACACTAAAAACACCTAAACATACTTTGCATAATTGTGACATTCACCAGTAGCTGAATGACGTGTATAAAGGGGTGTGTGTGTGTGTGTGTGTGTGTGTGTGTGTGTGTGTGTGTGTGTGTGTGTGTGTGTGTGTGTGGAAACACTGCAGGACTGTTTTATTTAGTGATAAATGTAAAACAAATAAATGACAAAATAAATGTATCTCCCTAACATTCATCATCAGATATCCAGTCTTGGCAGTTCAGACATCATTAAGGCTGAATAATGCACATAAAAAGTGCAGACTTTCAGTCTCTGTTCTGTCTGTCCTCATAATTCAAGTGATGTATGCTTAAATACTTTTTGTTATATGCAGCAGAATTTTTCTCACAGTTCTCCACCTGGCCTTTTAGTTTGTGCGCTCCACAAACCCCAGGTGGCAGCGCGCTTTGCCTGCTCTGTAACAGCTGAAAAAAGGATTGGAGTCAGGCTGACTGATTTCAGCAGGTCAGCGTGTTTAGCACAAGGAGCGCTCTTGCTCGTGCACGATGTAATTTGTGTATGGGGCTGGGGTTCGGTCTGGTTCGGAAAATTAACCACATTGCTGCAGCTGAAAGGGAGAGATGGCTGAAAATGTACCAGCTCCACTGCTTCCACTTACAGTGTGCACCAAAGAGAGAAGCATAAAAATTAAAACTAGAACTTGAATTGCCACAGCACAGCAGCATGCCTCCACCAGCCGGTCAAATTCACAAACATGGAACAGAAGCAAGGTCACTCACCTTGACCTTTGACCACCAAAATCTAATCAGCCCATCATTGAGTCCAAGTGGACACTTGAGCCAAATTTGAAGAATTTCACTCAAGGCACTCCTGAGATGACGTGTTCTAGGGCTGTACCTGACTAAGGATTTTATCAGTGGGCTCTTCAGTGTGACTATTCGTTCTTTTTCTTTCCTTTTTTAATAATAATATCAAAAAATCAACTAGAATGAATCTCTGTGATGATTTAGACGACATTAACATTGGTATTTAAATACAAAAGCGTGACAGAAACTCATTTCTGAGCATTTAAAAATCAACAGACAGCTGCATATGATGCAAGATTTAAATTGCGACCTATTTAAATTGATTGATTGATTATATTGTCGGGCTGCTGTTTGGATTGACGGAACAACAAGACAGGCAGCAGACTTGTATTTCTGTTGAAACAAACAAAACTGCTCTTATAGGCAGTTTGTTTTTTCTTCTGAGACCGGGTTATAGCCTAGTTTACCAGCAAGTTTGAGCTTCTCCCATTAGTTAACCACAGCACATGTTGTTACTGTGTTACGTCATTTACCTGAAACATCTGCTACTGACAGTCCAGTAGCTGTATGAGATAGCATTTATGTTTAAAAGTTGCATAACGTCTCTAAGTGTTGCAGGTTTTTATTATTCCTGCTCATCTGTTTCGCACTTGTAGGTCTAAAACATGTAGAGTTGTTTTGTATCTGCCGAGGAACATAAATCATTTGTTCATAGTTTTATAACCGGGAAATGTGTTTACGATTTAGTATACAGCACATTACACCACATTATATTGAAGGACACAGCAGTGTTGTTCACTCGTTGAATGTTGAATCTGTGTGGCATTGCTTTCCTCTATGAAAACAGTAACCATTGCACATTAACTGTAAATAAATGTAATTCCATTTGTCTTGTTGCAGATGTGAGCTGACTAGTGACCTGAACTTACCAACAACCTGAGTCAAACTGGAGGCTTCCATGTCCAGCATGATGGTGCCTTTTTCTATGCAGGTCCGCAGTTCAAACAGGCTGTGTAAGGACAGCGTTGCCACGTGGGGTTTACTCCACCGTTCACCGCCTTTCTCCACCTTCTCCTCAAACTTGATCCACCTGGACGGATGAAGAAAGGGAGTAAAGACAATCAACTGTAAACAGTGTACATCAGTTCAGAGAATAACAGAACATGTCAACATTTTAACAGATTTAAACATGCTAGCTCTCATCTGCTATATAAGGTGAACGCTTATACTGCAACTGTGCATGTCGAAGAATCATTTACTGTTCTACAAATGGTGACCATGGAGGACATGAAGCAACACCACATCAACATGGCTTAAAATCAGGACAGATCGAGTTAATGCCAATGTTATTGGGCATGTCAGTCGTTTTCAAATTAAATTTAACCGCACTAATACAATGCACACATTGTTGTACATTAGTAGGCCTATATGTCAGTATATGCAACAATCTCACAACAAAAGATAACATTTGAAAAATACTTTTGTCATGTGGAATTAAATCACTCCCAAAAAGTAGTGGAACAAATGATAAGAACCATGTGATATTCTTTATTTAAACATCAACATTTAATAAGTGAGAACAACCTGCACTGCACTTCTCCTGTCAGCATTTTGTCATTTATTTCATGTTTATAGTTAATATCAATGCCTGTCTAATGCAGACATACTAGGCAGGTGCATAGGAAAATACCTGATGAAGGTTCAGGACCATGCTGACGGTGTGTGGGATTTCAGTAATTTCTTTAAAGTAAAATGATCAGTTCATAAATTCAGGAACAGTAGCAAAATTTCTATTGGTTTGTGACTTTTTTTTTAAATTACTCCCACTCCCTGAGGGTCAAAAGGATGAAAAACAGAAGTGGTACTGAGCAGCTGATTCTATACCAGGGTTATATTTGGCCAGATTGGCTGCCAAAATGGCACTGGGCTAACAGCCAGCGCTACCCAGCACTTGTGTGATCTTTGATGCATCTTCAGTTCATTGATTGCACTTGGTGAAACACTGCATTGAGTCATAATCTCTGCAGTTATTTGCAGAAGAGTAAGTCTGACATTAACAATTCAGAATTATATTTACTGAACACTTAAGGAACATTAAGTTACAGGCAATAAATTACACATATAGTACCATACAACAATATACAAGATCTTCAATAAACTACTAAAACAGCTAAGATAAAGTTTAGCCATACCTTGCAATGAATACGTTTCTGTAAACTGACAGGTTGTAGTGTCACCTTTTGAATTTTGGCACAGTAATTTAGTTAAAGCCCATCTGTGCTAATCCCTTTATAAATCTAAAGTCAGCCATCTATGCATCTGGGAGAGGCAAGCAGGTAAAAACTGGATGAATACATGATCTGTGTAGGTGTGAATTCTGGAGAAGTCATTTTAAAATAACTAAAAAAAACTATAAAAATAGCTGAGATAGCTGAAATTTGACTTTTAACTGTGGTCAGAGGTTAGGATAACAACTCAAGTAATTTGGAGCCTCAAACAGCAGCCCAGGGATCCAGTGTCCACCCCCCACCCGCCCCGAGAGAGCTTCACTTATCCAACTAATGACGTACAAACAATTGTCCCATCCTTATCCCTCCCCAACCCTGTGAAACCTTTACGCTCCGTTTTCAAGCTGCTCCAACTGTAACAGCTCTGAAGGAGACTTAAAAAAGAATTTTGCTGTGTGAATGACTTCATATCAACTGTATGACTAAGTGAAGGTCAAAAGAGATGACCTCTAAAAGTCCTGACAACTGTAAAATCAAAGGTGGATATGCAGGAACTTTGAGAGGAAGCCCAGCATCTCAGACTGGTGTCCTTACCTTGCTGTCTCCTTCCACTCCATCTGCTGTCCATCCACCGACAACAGTTCATCCAGCTCGGTGAAGAGCTGTGGAGGTGCTGGGCCGTCATCGTCCTCCCCAAGCATAAAGCGAATCCTCTCAGCTGCTGGTGAGACTGTGGAAAGAGGAAAGATACTGCGGTTCTCAGGCTGGCAGTGGTGCCCATTGGACAAGGGTTTGGGCACCAGCTTCCCGTCCTCAGCTGGACCCTTCCTATTGACCTCAGGAGGTGGTGGTGGACTTTTCACCATGACCTCCTCTCCTTTCTCCTCCGTGTCCTCTTCCTTTTCTTCCTTCTCTTCTTGGTTACTGTTGTTGCCGGACATCTTTAAAAACTCAGTAACCCCACTTTAATCGGCTGACTTAGGGTTTGCTCCTCAGAAAGCAGCGACACAAGCTCTGAAGAGTCCCAGAGCAGCAGTCTGGGGTGGAAGTGACAGCCACTCTCAGCTGCCTGTTCCAGCACTTTGTGAACCAGATGGGAGGGGGCCGATGGAGTTTAGGGGTCCCCCCCACAGTGAAGGTGTCCCCACAGCTAGCCCCTTCTCCCTCTTGCCCCCCCGCCACTGTTCAAACAAGCCTTTGCCATTGGCCCTCTAGTCTTGGCAAGCTGCCCCAGAGCCCCTCGTTAACAATTAGGAAATGGATCACAAACTGGCCTGTTCTTTAGCAGAGCCTTGGCTTTCCTTCCCTTTGTCTTCTCATTTGAATATTAAGAGAGCAACACAAATAATAATACTTTTCAGTGCTATTCAAACGTCTTGCAAATGCTTGACAGCTTGTTCCAACAAGTGGATACATTATGCACTCTGAATGAGAGCACACAAATAATCACTCGTCCCTTTCATGAAAACAGGTTTATACATGTACAAAATGATTAGCAAACAACCACAACAAAGCCATTTGTGCTCAAGGAATCAGAGCGCCACTGTGTGAAGCTGCTCGTCTTGTGTGCATGACATAATGCAGGAGTCGGCCTTACATGCATTTAATTGCCCTGCCCCCCCAATCAAATGTCCATGTGTCAGCATGAACAAAATCAGAGCCCTGGAACTCAGACACCTGATTGGAACACAGTAAACATTCATGTTATTGATTACACCTGGACCA